TTGTTCAAGGTCTATTGAACACTCAAAACGCTTCATCAGCTAACAACGGCAACAATGGAAATGGCGCCAATAATGGCAATAACGGTAACAACGGCAACAACGGCGGCAACAACAATCACGGTCCATGGGAAAACGGCTACCACGGACCAGGTCGTGGAGGTTACGAACACGGCAGAGGCGGTCCCGGTTGGGGCATGCCCGGCTGGAACAGCCACTGGGGAGCTAATCCATGGAATGGCCGTCCCGGACAAGGCCAAGGCCAAGGCCAGGGACAGGGACAGGGACAGGGACAAGGTCAAGGTCAAGGTCAAGCAGCCAACGCTGACTACGCCTGGACACAGAACCTCGCTCTCCGCCTTGCCCAGCGCTACGTCGACTCGGCTTTCTGTACATGGCGCCAGACCGGTGGTGTCGTCGACGGTGAAACAGACCTTGATACCACCAGCCCTGGCATCATGTTCGAGAAATATGCCGACAACTCTACGAATGCGCGTGGTGGAGGTGGCGAGTACGAGGTTGTGCAAGGCTTCGGATGGACCAATGGTGTCTTGATTTGGAGCGCGGATGTCTTTGCGCAGGAGTTGGTGACGCCTGATTGTGGCAATCTCACTCCCTCTACGGCGAGCACCGGTGCTGCGAAGAGGAGCCTTGGCGTGAATGAGGAATGGAAGCCGAGGAGCGTATTGGAGCTGAGTCCAGCGGATGCTGCCTTCATCAAGAGGTTCGACTAGGTTACTCGAGAGCTTTGCGCTAAGATGAGTACACTGTCGTGACATGACTAATGTATATGTTGGTATCTCGTTCTTAGTACTTCTATCCGCTTCACCAGCTCAGACCGACATATAGGCACGTTCTCAGTCTTCATACTCCACGCTGAATTGTACATATCAAGCTTAGGTCCTGATTTGAAGTCCTCCTGTATGGTTGAGCTTCTATTCATCCAAGACGCTCTCTAACAGTTACAACTGTAAGTCGTAGGATCAACATGAAACTCATTCCCACTCGCATCCTTCGCCTCCCCACCCCTCGTCTCCGCCGGCAAACTCCCAACCCTAGACGCACACATTGACAACCTTCGATAACCTTGGACATCGCGCCTCCACACGCAGCGCTCGACCACGTCTTCACGGCCCACGAGACAAGAGTAAACACCACTTTCATGCGCTCACCAAAGGCGTTTTGCAGGTCGTTTCGCTCAACGACCTAGCGCACGCCGTGTCCGACGCCGAAGTCGAAGTATCCACATACTTAGCCGAAGATGCCGGAGAGGGTGATGGCGCGGACCCAGTTGCCGGAGCCGCAACAGATTGTTTTGGTTTGGCGCGCGGACAGCTCGGTTGCGTTGAGGCTTTCCCAGCGGTGGAACGCGATGCTATATAGGGTGGCGGCGTTAGCATTGCACTGCTACGGGCACGGGATGGTGGGTATTGGGACGTGATGAATCAGAAGGTAGGCGTAGGACCTACTCATCAGGAACGATGTTGTCGAATGAGTCGGTCAGATCATTCAGTTGTCGGAACTGAGACTCCCAGGTTGACCGTTCTTCATTGTCAAAGGTGGCGAGGCGTGTGTCGGCGTTGAGCTGGGTCCATGCAATTTTCTTGCTGGGACTTGATGAGGGAAAGCATGAGTGAGTCTTTGAAGGGGACGAGTTCGGGGATGAGGGCGGTGGCCAGGCGGAAGAGGAAGGTTGAGCCTGCAAGGAGAGTGCTGAAGGAGCGCGTTTCGAAGAAGAGGAAGATCGCAGAGAGAGGATTGTGAGAGTGAACGGCGGATGTTTGAGAACTAAACAAGACGGTGGAAGCGGCTGTTAATGCAGGAACACATTGCTGTCTTTCGTGCCTACTTATGCTTGCTGGAGTACAACGGCATTCCGTCTGCTTCATTGATCGTCATCTCAAGATATGGACAAGAGGAGTCTACCGTCTTGCGCAGTTGCTCGTCTAGATCCTACATCATGGAAGATCCACGTCTTTGCGGATGATGTCTCGGTGAGGACGCACCGTGACGTCTTGTCAAGCATGGTGGACTTGAGTAGATGTTTGTGTTAGTCGCAATCTTCCCAATGTCGAATAAGACCTGAATAGCTCATCACACTGCCAAGACCTGGAAATGCATTGCCTGCGCGCTGTTGACTTGCATCGTGACATTGGCCTCGCGTACATGTTGCTGGACAGTCTTGGTCCGCCTTAGAGCTGGGCACCATATGGGATCGCAGGAGGACTATGTGGGGACCATGGAGACTGGAGAGTCATGATAATGAGAGTTGCAGAGCACGAGAATGCGGAAGCTCGACAACATAGTACGATCCTTATGGTCCGACTAGATATGCGAATTGCAATCGTCTCCTGTCCCGGCTACAGTTCGACTGCTCCCCGCGGAGTAACCTATCTGTCGCATTGTATCTCTTCTCTATTTCTCCTCGACCTCTGAAGAACGAATGGTACCGTGAAACAAATCTCAGGACGCTCGAGGACATCCGAAGCTGACGGATTATGAAATGCAACCAACATAACAACGATAGAAGATCTGAGAGCCTATTCATGAGGTGTGGCTATCAAACCTAGCAAGTGAAAACCTGCCCATCGCCAGCTACACTGCCTGAACCCTGTTTCGTTAAATCATGCATGCTCAAGGCTGCAATCTTACTAAAAGCCAGCCATTAATGAGCAAAAAAATCATGCTATCACTCTAATGGGATCAATAGCCTTGTGAATAGCAAAAGTGATGACCACGCCAGGGGTCGAACCTGGAATCTCCTGATACCAATGGAATTGCTATAATATGAGAGCATATATAAATCAGTTCTCATCGTAGTCAGACGCCTTGCCATTGGGCCACGAGGCCGGTCGCTCCTGCCGAAACAGAGCACCGCAAACGGAAAGAACGCATGCCATGAGGCTCGTTCTATTTCGGGCATTAGATTCCTGGATGATCGTATATAATACCCAAAGATCATCCGCGCGCTAGCGGCTTGGTGTACTTCTCCTAGTAGCTGGATTTGCATTGACTATTCTTGAGTGCAGGACGTTCATTCGCTGCTTCCATCTGCGTGACAAACTGGAAACCAATGATAAGGCCTGGTAACAGCCCATAGGTACCCATAGTTCTATAGCTTATGATCATTATTCCAACTGCTACTAATCATTCGGACAACATCCGCTTCGGGCGCTCGATAAGGAAGGAGCAGACAACTTCCAGGAAAGAGCGACCAGACCCTATCTGATAGAACATATAGCACGTAGCTTGTTCTCTACGCTAATCAATGAGCTTGCTCATTCCAAACTGTCTTCCAGCCTTCATCGTCGATGCGCATGGTCTCCTCCTGCGGCAAACTGTATCTGTCACCTTTCTATCGCATGTTGAAGGAAGTGGGTCGAGCTTGCAAGACGGGAGTCGGCTGGCGGGTTTGGGCTTGCGTCGTCTGCGTCAAGTATCCGACCAGATTTCTGGTATCGACCGCCGACGTATCTTACCGAACACCGAGTGCTCTTGTCCGCAGTACCTGCT